TGCATTCTACAAGTTATTTATCTGAGTAGGATATTTGCAAGCATTTTCCTGGTAAAATTTTTCTTAGAATTTTTCATATAATTTTTCAGAATTTCTATATAATTTTATATAACTTTCTCACATTTTTTGTATGAATTGGAACACTTCTCAGAAAATCTATATCTTTTCTCAGAATTTTCCATATATGTTAATTATGAAATATCGTAAAATTTCTAAGATTTTTGTAAGTATAATTTCTGATGAAACGTTATAAAATCTAAAAAATTAAAAAAATATATTTTAAATATTATGAAATGAGAAATCTCAGAATATTTCAGAATTCACATGTATGAAAAATTCTGAGAAAAGATGTAAACTTTCCGAATATTTCTGAGTACTTCTGAAAAATGTTCCAATTCCTATAAAAATTATAAGAAAAATTTTCATCAGGGTTAATAAAGAATAAATGTTAAGAAAAGTCCGCTCAAATTTTGATAAAAATACACTGAATCGATGCGTTTTCGCGTAAAAAAATAAACATTTGACAAGAAAAAATCCCCGCTCTGCTCTGCAAACCGAGATATTAATTCTTAAAGTCGACAATTATTAAGGTTAAGAAATCTGTCATAGCAGTGGTTCAGTGCTTTAAAAACACAAATTCTCTGCTAAAGTAGTAAATTTATGTTTCTAAAGCAATGATTTATTGTGTTAAAAACATAAATTCACTGCTTTAAAAACACAAAATATTCTAAAAACAAATTCTCTGCTAAAGCAGTGAATATGTTTTTTAAAGCTGTTATTCATTGCTTTAAAAATATAGATTCATTGCTTTAAGAACACAAGTTCTGCACATTAAAAACAAATTTTCTGCTAAAACAGTTAATTTGTATTTTTAAAACAGTAAATTTGTGTGTTTTTGAAGCACTGAACCACCGTTGTGACAGATTTCTTAACCTGAACAATCATCGACTTTAATGATTGTTCTGCAATGTACTCTTCGTTTCCTGTTTCTTGCTTTTTACCATTTGCTTTTTTTCCTCTTTGTGATCGTTTTATCGACAATTATATTTCTTGATATGTGTTTTCTGTTTCTTCCGAAGTTAACATTTATCTCGAGCAATAGAAAACGAAAAATGGAATAAGAGGCAAAAAGGCAAGATACAAAAAATAGCAAAAACCAAGAAACAGGGAACAAAAAGCACATTATAGAATAGGCTTAAGGATTAATATCTCAGTTTGCAAAACTGAGTGGACCTTTTTTCTTGTCAAATTTTTATTTTTACGCGAAAACGCATCGATTTAATGTATTTTTATCAAAATTTGAGGTGAGCAGGTTCTTGTTAACATTTACCTAATAAAGTTTTTGTAATTTCCTTATATTTTATAGATGTATAAATTATTTTATTATTTCTTATTTATAGATGAGGATGATCCGTTAGTTAGTTTGCTAGCCGATAAGGAAGATTTGTTATCGAATCAAAAGATTCCAGTAGCAGTAAGAGATAAACGAAGTATAATAGATGATTTGTTCAGTAAGAAAACTTCTAACGAGTTGTTATCAAGTTCAAAATCAGATGAAAAAGAGATTGGCTTGATGTCTGCATTAAATACTACAGAAATTGAGAGGCCAAAATCGGATGATAAGGTCAAAAAATTGTCATTAATGCAAGATTTGTTTGGAGATATGCATACATTACCATTGAAAGAATCAGTTAGTAAAAAATCTGTACAACTAGAACTGGATGTTACACAACATTCAGCCGAAGTTTCTAAGACACAATCACAGCATTCGACGTATGCGCCAACGTCTTTTGGAACAAGAGAATCTCGAAGAGGCAAAAGGACTTCAGAAATCGTCAACGATCCTCTAGGATTACTTTTCTTGGATACAACATCAAATCAAGCTGAGCAAACTGTAAATATAAATTCATTAGGTTTGCATATATTTTTAATGTCTGATAATATTTAATTTTATTTTCTACTCATGCTTGATAATTCTGTTGTTATTTCAAAGATAATAGAAAGACATACAGCATCTGCAGATCTTAATAAACAGAAATTAGAAATTAAAGAATATTTACCAAATTGGTTGGAACCTAAAAAAGCACCAGAAGATAAAAAAAATAGCGATTATGTTCAGGATAGAGTAACGCCTACCGAAGAATTATTTAGCAAACATAGGAGATCTAGTTCTGATAAAATTATTCAAGAAGTAAGCAGTATCATTGATGTATAGTAAAAATGGTACTATTGTTTTAATTATTTGTTACAGTAATTATTCGTTACAGATGCCACAAGGTGATAAGATAATGGTAAATAAATCACTGCCACATGAGAAGAAAAAATCATCAAATTTATCAGATAATCAAGAGATTGAAATCAACAAATATGAGAAACAGGAAATTGAAGAAAATTATTCTAAAGTAAATCTCTAAAGACTCTAAAGATTTTAATAAGAAAAATTTATATTTATGATTATTTTGTAATTAAGATTTATTAAGAGATGTCGAAGGATTTGCGGGTTATTACTGTTTCATGATCCATTACTAGACATTAGCAATGGCTCACGACACTGTGATAATCCGTAGACTTTTTGGCATTTCTGAAGAAAATATCTGTGAAAGTTTCAAAAGTATATTTAAGATTTATATTTAACCTTGTAGCCGTCCAACACAACGGTTGTTCCAATTACTTCTGATATAAATACAAATTCGGAAGATGTGCATAATATCTTAATTCATAAAAGTATAGACTATGAAAAAGCAATTCATAATTTAGAATTAGAAAAGTCTCATTTGTCAGTGACATTACATAGCTTAAACGAAAAATATAAAAATGAGATAATGATTTTAGATGAGTCATATAAGTAAGTAGGAGCTCGTTATTATATTAAAATATTTCTTTTATTTTTCAAAAATTTACAATTGTTTTAAAGACGGCAAATAGGATTCTTGCAAGAAAGAACAGACACATTGGAAAAGAGAATGCAGCAAGAACTTGAGTGTTTAGAGGCAAATTATGAAGCAAAGATTGAAAAATTGAAAAACAATGAAATACAAATTGAGACATTTTATAAAGAAGAAGTGCAGAATTTAAAGGCATAAAATTTTTTATTACTTAAAAATTGTCAATGTAGTATTGATTATATTGCTATAATTAAAATTAATGTTTAACACGATTTATTTTATTTAGAAAGAACATGCACAATTTATAGAAGAAATTTATGAACGCCATTTTCAAAACGTAAGACTGCTGCAAAAAGAACATTTTGACACAATAGAAAACATACTAAAAATGAGAGAGGTAGAGAATTTAGCTATGACAACCATAGCGACCCACAAGACTGACTTGCAAGATTTGTTACAAAAAGCTGATTTTATTATAGAGAGTGTAAAAATTGTGCAAGAAAAGACTGATCAAAGAGACGATCAAAGTATAAAGTTAAAAGAATATTATTTAAAAAATCAAGAGGAAGACATGCAAAGTATGTTACGATAGTATTATATAAGTAATTTAAATAATTCATAATTTTTATTCACTTTATGCAATTTTATTGCAGTACAAAATGTAGAAATTAAGAAGCAACAGAAATTATTGGAACAAGAACATGAGAAAATAATGAAAGTAGCAGACAGATTAGATTCACACGTTACACAATTAATGCTCGAATTAGAGAAAAAAAGTGTCGAGCTTAATCAAGCATTGGCAACATTACAAAAAAGAGAACAATCTTTATCACATGAAAAAGAAATGTTTGAGGAAAAAGTACAATGGGAGCGTAATCATTTACAGGTAGGTAATCATTTAATATGGATAATTATTAATATGGATAATATGGATAATACTTATGTGAACGTTATTATATTTTAAAAAGTTTTATGTATTATATGCAATATATTATAAGGTTTTGAGAGAATCTTGGTTCAACGAACAAGAGAAACAACTGAAGACTTTAACGAAGGAGAAAGGAGTGATCGCGGCTAAAAAGAAGCAATATGAAGTTTTAAAAACAATTAAAAGTAATTCGGATAATTTTACAAAAATAGAGGTAAAAGGATAAACCTATGAAATAGAATATATATATTAGAGAAATAAAAAATTACTTTTTTATAGTTGGCAGCTGCTATAAAAGCAGCACAAGATGCTACTATACTCGCAAATCAAGAACGACTGAAATGGCAAGAAAAAATTAAATATCTTGAAGTGCAGCAGCAGGCCTTACAGGAAAGAGAATATCGGCTATTAGCACGCGCCCAAGATCTTGAAAATTTTACACAGGTAATGATAATTGAATGTACATGCGATATAGTCGATATTAACACAATTAAATATTTAGGTAGCATTTGAGAAAAATGAGGAAGCTGTTAAATCATTGAGAGATGCTCATCACATCGAAAATGAGCATAAAACTAAATTTGATTCCCATTACAGGAAATTTGGGAAGTTCAATTTGGCAAGGTAATTTTATTTTGAATCAATTTTAACAATATAAAAACCAATGTTTAAATAATTTTTAATTTTCCAAGCGAAAAATTATCTTTGGAGAAAATAAAAAAAAGTACAAATACCCCATATAATTACCAGCGAACGTTATCTAATCAACAACACGAGTTTCAAGTTACTACTCATTTTACAGTAAGGCAAAAATAATTAGGAAACATAACATAATAATAAAATTTTTTATCTTGAATTATTTCTTAAATTAATATTTTACAAATATATATGTATATATATATATATAAAATATTAATTTATGAAATAATTCAATATATATATATATACTTATCACACAACACACGCATACACACACACACATATATATATAAAATTGTTTTTCAGGAAGTTGTTGATCCTCAATTAGTAATGTTGAAGTTGAATCTGGACGATCAATTAGATAACATTCAATATACATGATTGTCATAAAATTTTGATTTAACATTTGACATATATGTCTTACATACTTTTCGTATATGTGTGTGAAAACTGTCTAATATATTATATATTGTAAGCAACAGACAATAAATGCACGTATTAATATATTTATTACGTAATAGTTGAACTGCTATCTGTTGATTCATTATTGTTAGTTGAATCTATACTTCCATCTGAAAATGATAATCTTTAGTTGCTATATATCCAGATTACTATATTTCAAACTGATATATTTGTTTTATCATTATATATATATACATTACCTAAAGCTATATATTATCATTTTAATCTTCAATAAAGAGCAAATAACATTATTACTAACATTTTTACTAAGTGTTGATTATAAACAAGGTATTACCTTCAATAATATTACTACTATCTAAGAGATGTTGGAGCATCACTATATTTTCCTTTAATGTTTCCAACTGAGCAATACTGCACTTTGTTTGATATAATTTGTTTCCTACAACTTCTGTGCACATTGTCTAAAAAATAGATTAGAAAGTGTTAGCATATTTAAAGATATTTTATCTTCAGTGTCTGTGAATAATTTCCAATATTTTACCACATCTTGAATTAATTTTGAAGGCTCTACATTATTTTCTTTAACGTTATTGAGTGCTTTGTGAATATCTCCTACATTATTCAAGAATTCAATTGCTTCAATAAACATTGTTGTCATATTTCTGAAACAGAGTGTTAAGTTTTGCAGTATATATTTTATTGCACATATTTTTTTTATAAAAAGTATAAAATTCATATATACTGTGCATAATCGTGTGATACAGGTAAGCCTGAAATATTGCTTGTAGAGTGTACTATCTTATGTACAGAGTGTTTATGTGACGTAATCATATTGAGATGTTTTGTGATGTTTTCCTTGCATTGTTCTCTCTCCTCTATGATCAAGATTTATGCATTATATAATTGCGAAGTTTTTCAATAACAAAACAATTCATTCCAATTAGAAATAATTTAGAAAAGCTTACTTCTCAAGTCTCGCAATTCCTTTATTAATTTCCTATGTTCATTAGGCTCTACGTCGAAACATTCTAATTTGCGATGATTAGCAAACCTCTTCTGTTGTACAACTTTTATAAAACGTTCTATATCTTCCATGTCGTAAATCAAGCGCTAAAAAACAAAACAAATTCCAAAAAATATTTATCATAATAATCACTTTTCAAACATATCTCTCGAAAGATCATTCGATTTCATTTTGAAGAATTTTTCAAACAAACTTATATAGCCCTGTACACAATAGAGAAAATATTAGCATGAGTAGTCGCCGCGGCCATGTTGAAATCGTGACGTCAGAAGCGAGAAATGACAGATTGGGCGAGTTCAAGACGACAAAACGACTAGGCATGCTTATCGAGCAATTGAATATGATTGGTTGGATCTACAAGCAACAACCAATTATGTTCATTTGCTTGACGAGCAGGCTAGCCGCTTTGTCAACTTGAACGCGCCCATTAATTTGTTGCATGCCATTTGTAAATAAAGACAATTGGGATAAATCTAAATGACGAGATCGCTTTAAAACACTTGTAAATATCGAACAAAACTGTCCTTTCCTCCCTTGACAGTCAGCAAATGGTCGTAAAAGACACGTAAAGTGAGCCTATATACTCGGGCAGAAACACACGGTCTGACAGCTGTCGAAACGAGTGAAAAACGCATTTACATATAAAATTCCAAGATAACTTTAGTTTTCTTCAATAATTACGACTTCAACAAGTACGAGACAAGTCACATTTTCATAATTAAGCAAATAATAACGAAGTGGTATACAACACAAATTTCGTTGTCAAAACGTCACTTTTCCACGTCTATAAATTCAGCCATTTATCGTGGTGCGGCGCTGTAACACACATACAAGTAGAGACACTATAATAAGAGACTGGCATAGATGGGCTAATTTTTGATTGGCTGGATATAGAATGGCAGAAACTAATCAAAAGTCGTGCTGGTAGATGATAGTACAGTCCGAATTCTGCTTGGTTTCTGCTTTCCTACTTTTTCTGCTTTTCCGTTCTAGTTGCGAACGCGTCCTATTGCTGGATAAATTTTGCTTCGTATTATCGGAATCCTGTTTTCTGATTGGATGCAAAGCGTCGTACGACGAAAATAGGATGCAGGGTGAATCCAGCAAATCCAGCGTTATCGTCCTGTGAACGCCATTTTTTATCCAATCAGAATTTATGCCAGTCTCTTATTACTTCGGATCTACAATAGAGTTTTAAGTCTTAAGTCGTAAGAAACTGACCAATTACAGTCAAATTCGAAGAGAATAATCGACTATGATTCGTCCATTTCTTATGGCTTAATGCGGGGTCTACAATAGAAGTCATAGCAGTCGTAGGGTCTTAAGTCGTAGAAAATTGACCAATCACAGTTGATTATTCTTCTCATATTCGACTGTGATTGGTCAATTTTCTACGACTTAATAACCTACGACTGCTACGACTTCTATTGTAGATCCCGCATAAGGCTTAAAACACTATTGTAGATCCGGGGTTAAGCCTTAAGCCGTAAGAAATTGACCAATTACAGTCGAATTCGAGGAGAATAATCGACTATGATTCGTCCATTTCTTATTTAAAGCTTAAAACTCTATTGTAGATCCGGAGTTATAGTGTCTCTACTACAACCGCTCACTGAGCGCTCAGTGAACTCTTGAATCTGTTTGGTCTATATTTTTAGTTCTAATGGAATTTGCCAATCAGATGCAAGTGCTTACTGAGCGCTCAGTGAGCGGTTGTAGTACTGAATGCATCTATTGGCATATTCTGTTAGAACTAAAAATATAGACCAAACAGATTCAAGAGCTCACTGAGCGCTCAGTGAGCGGTCGTAGTACTGAATGCACCCAATGCGAGGGAATAGCGATAGCGATAGGAATAACACGATTTCAACCTATCAAAAACTGTGTATTCCGGTGTATCCGACTTCTGATGGATTGAAATCGTGTTATTCCTATTAGAGACCCTATACTTAGTATAGGGTCTCTAATCGCTATCGCTATTCCCTCGCATTGTGTCTTGGGCTTAATATTCACGTATAAAATGTACATTATTATGCATACCCAACCCTACAATGCCTATTGCCTTGCACACCATTAACCATGTAATCTTTCCACCATGCTTGCGATTGAGTTGCGACATACATATGCACGCGCGAATGTGTGACATACCGGATTGTGTCGCTGCATTTTTCTTTAATAATGTGATAGAAGGCCTCGACCGGACAATTCATTGGACATTATTTTAAGCAGATCCAAAAATGAGCACGATCTTGGAAAAAATCGCCTCAATCGAGGCTGAGGTAATCTATTATATTGTGTCGCGATATTGTGTTCACGATCCACGATAGGTTATCCCTTTGCAGCATTATCGCTCATCGCAATTTTCTCTTCCAGATGGCTCGTACTCAGAAAAATAAAGCAACTTCTGGGCACTTAGGTTTGCTGAAGGCAAAACTAGCCAAGCTCAGACGTGAGCTAATCACCCCGAAGGGTGGTGGTGGAGGTGGCGAACAAGGTTTCGAGGTCGCCAAAACTGGTGATGCTCGTATTGGTTTTGTCGGTGCGTCTCTTCCAATCACATCATAATCTTATACTCTATTGTAGCTGTGTTATATCTCTACATTAGTTTGATAGATTCACGTGTTATAAGCTTCATTCTAACTTCCTTCTGCAAATAATGAGTGATACAGATATTCTAAGTTTACATAGTGCATGAGCACCAAATGCAACCGATGTCTTATTAAACAGACCTGTTCAAAACTTTGCTCTAGCCGACATTTGATTTGAACGCTTGTATGCTTTAAGTCTAGATCTACAAGAAGTTTTTAAGTCTTAAGCTATAAGAAATGAACGAATTATTGTCAATTTTTCTCCTTGTATTTCTTCCTTTGATTCCGTAAATACAACAATAGTAAGTCGTAAGCCTTAAGGAATTGACCAGTCATATTAGATTATTCTTCTCACATTCGTGATTGATCAATTTTTTTTAAGGCTTAAGGGAACCTAAAGTCATTTGTATTACCGACAAATCATAATTTTTGTATAACAATTTTTTTCCTCTTACAGATTCGAAAATCCTTTTCCAGGATTAAAGTATATGCATTAATACGTGTCTGTGAGGTGGAATTTATGCCGAGAATAACAAAAATTTTTCTTAAAATTTTAATTTTGAACTTTTTCATTGTTTATAAATTCCTCAGAATAAATTCCACCTCTTAGACACATATTAATGTGTATACTTTAATTTTGGAAAAGGATTTTTAAATCAGTAAAAGAAATAAAAAGCAAGTCCTTGCAAAGCACGTAATTTCATTTTAGGAGAAATATTTTTTCTATGCTTTGAATCTTAATTCCACAAAAGTATTGTTTGTTCAAGTAATCTGAATCGCCTCGCGCTTATTTTCAATCTATAAAACTTTTATATCAAGCAATGATCTCAGATGACACTTTTACGTGCCAGAAAAAGTGAATTTTTTAATTTTTTTTTCGATTTTCTCGTGAAATCGTGTTTTCCGGGATTTCTTTTTATGCGTTCTTTAACTTTGTAAAAAAAATTTTGCAATCCATGAAGCCAATTCGAAAATTTCTCCTAAAACATAATCATAAAACAGGACAACTTTAGGATCCCCTTAAGACTTAGTATACCTATTGTGTTTGTGGAATAATTGATCAATTTTTTATGGCTTAAGGCTTAAAACATCTATTATAGATCTGGACTAAGTGTTTATAATCATCATTCTGTCTTTATTGTTTATTAGACCTAAAACAAAGATAGAAACACTAAAGGCTCTAAAAGCTTCCAAATTGAACTCTAATATCTATTTTAAAGCCTTACGGTCTGCGCACAATAGAACAAATATTAGGAACAGAAATAAATATTAAATCTATCAGATATTAGTTACACCAGATTACACAGTTTTTAATAGATTGAAATCTTAATATTTATTCCTAATATTTCCTCCATTGTGCACAGGATCTTATACATGATATTAAAAATTGTTCCAAGATTGAGAAACAGAAAGAATTAACAAATCACCTCTAAACAATTCGACCAAGAATGACCAATACAATTGATCAATTCTATCTTAGTCCGAGATCTCGGAGTAATTTCTAGTATCACAAACACAAGGCTTAAGGCTGCAGTATAATGTTATGCAGAAGTCTGTGCTACAGCTTTAATATTATTGTTTTCTCTTTGTCTCACTCAATGAGATAATGGACTTAGGAGAAAGCACTTAGCTCTCGAGCTAAGTTTCGGACGATGTATATTAAACCAGTGTTCCTTGAACTGCAGCATAAAATCTTTTGGAATATCAACAAAATCTTATAAATTATGTTATACTACATTCTGTGTTTCTACGCATGATTTTGCCCAATGATTAAATTTACAGGTTTTCCTTCTGTGGGAAAATCTACATTGTTGAGTACACTTGCTGGTGTATATTCCGAAGTAGCCGAATACGAGTTTACAACACTCACAACTGTTCCTGGTTGCATAAAATATAAAGGTGCAAAAATACAGGTAAATCCACAATGGATTATAGTTACTTATTTTACAGATTGTCTCTCTATATAGTGCCGAAACTGCTACAGCAGCTTTAGCACATGTTCGGAATCAAATATATGTTTATTAGACATTTTCGACTTATTTTCATATGCTGAAGCCACTGTAGCAGTTTTGATACTGTATACAGAGATACCCTATGTATAAGGTAATTCATGTTTAATGTCTTTTAATATTTCTCAATTTAAATTAGGCTTTGAAGTTAATAATATATATGATAATAAAATCAAGTAAGATTATAATTATAAGAATGCATCTTGCAGTTGTTAGATCTTCCAGGTATTATAGAAGGCGCAAAGGATGGCAAAGGACGTGGACGACAAGTCATTGCCGTGGCACGAACATGCAGCTTAATCTTCATCGTTTTAGATGTGCTCAAACCACTCGGACATAAGCGACTGATTGAACACGAATTGGAAGGTTTTGGTCTACGATTGAATAAACAGCCACCAAATATAACCTTCAAAAAGAAGGACAAGGGTGGTATTAATTTACAAACAATGGTGAGAAAACGATTTGTAATAATGGACTTCTGACGGTTCAAATAAATAAATAATAAAACGGACACATGGGAGTCAGGTGGAGAGATTATTGCGCAAAATTAGTCAATTAATAAAATAGGTTTAATACAAACGTGCACTAAACCAAACGATATCTGATGATTACATGTTTTGACTATACTAATATTTTTACAGTTTATACTATTCGATTTGGGTCCTTGAGGATAAGTTATTTTCAGTTTTAAATATTTTGTTAATTTTTACTTACGTGAGTTAACTGAAAAATCTCTAGTACATCCAGAGATTCTTGCCACGCGGTTGTCCAATCACATGTGAGCAAT